AGGGGCCAGGGCGGGACACACTTGGGGCAATACCGTGAATGGAAGCAGCATCCAGACACAGCATGGCATGACACGCGTGTGTGCAAACATGGCGGGACGGGAAACGGGGCAATGACCGTGTAACAGTCACACAGGGTGACCAGCATCAGGGGTCACTAAACCACACAGCAAGGCATGATACACACGTGTGCAAACATGACGGGACGGGAAACGGGGCGATGACTGTGTAACAGTCACACAAGGTGACCAGCATTAGGGGTCGCTAAACCACACAGCTGGGGGACAGCAAGCTGACAAGGGCAGTCACCCATGTTTCCACGACAACCACCAACAGGATTCATGCAGGACCCTGAGAAACCCAACCCTGGGCAAAGCAGGTGTGCACTAAGACCTGCGAGAGGCCCCTCTGGAAGAGGTATGCCATCGAGGCGTGTCCCGGTCTCACTCTCCCGGCGCCCCATGCGTGTGAGACGTGTCCCGGTCTCACTCTCCCGGCGCCCCATGCGTGTGAGGCGTGTCCCGGTCTCTCTCTCCCGGCGCCCCATGCGTGTGAGGCGTGTCCCGGTCTCTCTCTCCCGGCGCCCCATGTGTGCGAGGCGTGTCCCGGTCTCCTGGCGGTCCTGGGCATGCAAGGTGTGTTCCAGTCTCCTGGACGCCCCGTGTCGGCTGCTATCAAGACATGTCCCGGTCTCCAGGCGGCCCCATGCATGTGAGGCGCATCCCAGTCTCCAGCGGACTGTGGCCTGAGCTCAGCTATGCCCCAGGGGCTTTCAAAGGCTGGTGTTTCGGAAGCTGACTGCCAGGCCTTTCCTTTGAGGTGCCCGTGGGTGGGTCGGCACCACCAGCCTCTCGTTAGCTGACGAGCACGTGATCATCTTTACCACCTGGAGCCCCATAGGGTCATCTTCGTTCTGCTCCAGCTGTTCAGTGGGTCCCCCACAACTGCGCAGCAGCCAGGAGTACCCACAGCACACCCACCGTGAAAGCGCTGTGTCCCTGCCAGGGTGGGGAGGCTGGGGTCTCCACACAAAGCCCAGCGGACCCTCCCAGGCAAGGCTCTCTGCCCCAGTGAAAGCTGTCACGAAGCACGTTTTGGCCTCAGTGTAGCGAAGGACCAGCTGATTTCACAGCAGTAAACTAGGGGGCTCTGCGGACGAGTGTGAGGGGAGCCAGGCCGGGTGCACACATGAAGTCACGGAGGCGGCCCCAGACCCATCCTGTTCCCCATGGGCCCAACCTGAAGGCTTCTCTCTCACCACCCTCTGCCCCACAATCCTGCAGCCCCAGAAGGGAAGGGATAAAGAGTCGGATCTGGGCAGAGGCTCTGGGGACATCAGCATCCTTACGACCAGGCGGACACGGCAGGCAGGAAGTGAACCCCAGACTAGCCAGCCAGCAGCGCCACACGGGGCGGTGGCGGCTCTGTGCCGTAGACCTTACTCTCCACCCGTCCTTATCTGTCAGAGAAGGTGCCCAGCCGGCTCCTAGAGTCCCACATGGCCGGGGGACAGAGGAGACACTGGTAGTGGTGAGACCTGTGTCAGGGCACAGCCAGGAGAGGGTATGGGCCAGGCTTCCCCACACCCCCTCTGGGTGGACTGAACATGACGCACGTTGTCTTCTTTGAAGCTCCTCCTGGGTGTCTGCCCGTGGTGGGTGCCCAGTAAGGGCAGGACAGGCAGGAGCCCCGTCCCCATGGCCAGGCCAGAAGGCGAACCTCTTGGTTTAGTCTTTTCCCGCCCAGACGCGGTAAACCTCTCCTCTGCCCGTCTGCGGGAGAGCAGCCACCCGCGACACCAGGCCAGGTGCCAGTCAGCACTGCGCTGCCGTGTGGTGAGGCGGCTGCTGTTGGTGCCATCGACTCCCAACTCGGGGCCACCCCGTGACAGAGAACCGCCTCACAGGGTCTCCTACCCTGTGATGCTCTTCATGGGGGCGGATCACCTGGTCTTCCTCCCGGGAAGCCGCTGGGGGGGGGCCGGAACCACCAGCCTCTCGGCTGGAAGCTGAGCACTTCAGCCCGGTGCCCTCAGGCTCCTTCCAAAAAGACGTGCTGAAGCCCTACCCCGGCACCTGTCAACACGACCTTTCTGCAAACAGGGTCTTGGCAGATGTCACTAAGGGAACATGAGGCCAGGCTGTTTGAGGCAGGCCCTAATCCAATGACAAGTGACCTCCAGGAAGAGGGAAGCTGGCCGTGAGAAGACAGACGCGAGGACAGCGATGTGGCCACCGGCACCCGGACGGACAAGGACAGACCCTCTCCTGGAGCGTCTTGGGGGAGCGTGGTCCCGCCGACACTGTGCTTCAGACCACGCGAGGGCAAGACCCCGGCTCTGGGAGGCCCCAGCGCGAGGGCGGCCCCAGGGCACACGCATCCACCCGGCCTGACCCCGGCCAGCCAGATCCCCTGCACTGGGCGCTGTGGCCTAACTGGCTGCGGGTTTCCCAGCCGGGCTGAGCATTTTTCCACACCAACTGCCAGGAACTCTTGCGCCATCGGGGCCCCTGGGACCGTCCCCATCTGTTGTTTGTTTGTGTTCTGACTCCGTGTACGGCGTCCTGCAGTGCAGAAAGGTTTAATTCTGACACACTTAACCCTGGCCGTTTCTTCTCCCGGCTCCTGCATTTCCGAGGAAGGCTTGTCCCGTGCCCACTCTGCAGCCGTCTCCTCCCGGGTGGCGGTTGCTCCCAGCGCCCATTCAGCAAGGAGCTGCATCCCCTCAGAGCCCCAGAAGGCCCAGCCAGGGCACCAAGAGAGTTGCGGGCTGTCCGCTGGGCCCAGGGTCGCTCTGAAAAACCTCCCTGCTCCAGACCCGGCCTGGACAAGGACAACCCCATGGAGCGGCTGCCTTCCTGTCCTGCCTCCCTGTAACCTCCTGTGGCCTCCTGTCCCGGCGGAGCCTGACCCCAAGGCTGGCCGCCCGCCCCTCCTGCCCTGTCCCCACACCAGACTCATGGGACTGCCAGCACACGGCTCTCTAACAAAACCCTGCTGTCGTCGTTGTGGTCGTCAGGTGCCACCGAGTCGACTCCCGCTCACAGCGGCCCCACGTACAACAGAACGAACCCTGCGTGGTCCTGTGCCAGCCTCACAATCCCGGCCACACCTGGGTCCATCGCCGCAGCCACGTGCCAGCCCATCCTTCGCCGTCCCCTCCTGCGCTGACCCTCCACTTCACCAAGCATGATGCCCTTCTCCGGGACACGCCCCCTCCTGACAACATGACCAAAGCAGGGGACACCAAGGCTGCCCATCCCCACTTCTCACAGGCACTCGGCGCGCTGGACTTCCGCCAGGACGGCTCTAACGGCGAGTGACTCCCCACACGCTGACACGACACTCACGAGGCTGTGAAGCCACCTGGCTGGCACCCGCCGTGCACCCCCTGCTCCACTTGCTCAGAACCTTCGTGTCTCCTGGTCGCCGTCAGGGACGCTCTGCCGTGACCTCCAGGCCCGTCGTCCAGACCTGACCCTCAGCCCGGGGCACTCCTGATGGGGGCTGGGAATAAACCACTCTCCCTCAGCTTCTCCTGATCAGGGCGCTCCCCCACGCCATTTCTAGGTGCAGTAACTCTCTCTGTGCTCAGGCATGTGTGCCCCACGAGCCAGCCAACGCCAGCCACGTTGCTCTGTCCATAGCATGAGAAGGGCACACCCAGACAAGCCCCACATTGGCTCCATGGGGACCGGCAACTGAAGCTCACCCTACTCTGTCCCTTCTCTGTGGACGGCCGCGTGATCCGTGCACACCTGGGCGTGTCGCTTCTCTGTGGACGGCCGCGTGATCCGTGCACACCTGGGCGTGTCCCTTCTCTGTGGACGGCCGCGTGATCCGTGCACACCTGGGCGTGTCCCTTCTCTGTGGACGGCCGCGTGGCCCGTCCACGCCTGGGCGTGTCCCTTCTCTGTGGATGGCCGTGTGGCCCGTCCACGCCTGGGCGTGTCCCTTCTCTGTGGATGGCCGCGTGGCCCGTCCACACCAGGGTGAGTACCTTCTCTGTGGATGGCCCTGTGGTCCATGCACCACCTGGGCATGTCCCTTCTCT